CCTCACAATTAAAATCCAAAACAGTAAAAACCATAAATATATGGATGTCCATATTAAAATTAGCTAACAACAATTCCATATAAAAAGACTATATACAATTCAAGATGATGGGGGAGCAGTATCCATTATCCCACCAGCTAATTCCAACAATGTGAGCCCCCATCAGGTCATCTGGCATAGCCATGCTTTCATACTTTTCCCACTTAATTCCTGTTGTAATTAAGAGTATATAATTTTCAAAGTTGAGATTTATTTGCTAATTTGTTAATTTTTCAGCCAAACCTATGATATTTCTTCCACTTTTAACAAGTTCCATTTTAATTTTCAGCACTAGGCAGCCTTGTTGAAGATCTAGCCTAATAACTGTTCATCTCAGAACAGTTTCACAACATTACATTGTCATGAAAATGAGCCATTTAAATTTGTGTACATTCTTCAAAGTGTTCTGGTTTATTCTAATAAAATAAAAAGGCAATACTTATACATAGCCCATCAAGTGAGTATTATACTTGTAATCATATTGGCTTATGCAGGGAAAATCACCTTACATTTCAAGATTATAAGGCTGTTCTAGTTCTCTGGGTTATTATTAGAAACTGTCATTTAAATGTCTTAAAAAGTAAATACGCTATTCATAGTTTCACAATGTTCAATCTTCATAGCACCAGAAATTAACCTGATAAAATATGGGTTAATCCTAGATCATTATGTACTTTTTCTTCCAGACATGTGTTTAAAAATCCTCCGAGAAGATAAAAGTTGCCAGGGATCACTGCAGATAGTCAAATGGTAAGAAAGAGAAAAGAGTGCAAAAATACACCAGTGGGTGCCTGCTTGTACATGACTTGAACATACAGCTCTAACCAAGGGCTGTGCAAAGCCAGAGGTATTATCTTACTTGTGATTTTAATTGGGGGGTATTTATATTTTTATTGTTTTTATTGTCTCGGTTTTAATTGAAAGCTGCCCAGAGTCGCCCTCTGGGGGAGATGGGTGGCATATAAATTGAATAATAAATAAATAAATAAATGTTTACTATTAATTAATCTGGTATAAATGTTGCATTGAAGAACTCTTAATTTCATTAGTGATCAGCAGTAAATTGCACCTGGCAGCTTAGAAATTTCTTGTACTAACACATTTTTTGGTGACTGTTTACTCATCTACATTTCTGCTTTGATAGGATCCAGGGATGTTTCGATGCATTGGAAAAGAACTATGTAAGTTGTATGTCAACTCACCTAGAAAGTGTGTTTGATGCAATGGGATTTCATCCCAAATTCTCAGAATGGAATGGTCTTGTTTTTTTGCGATTGTTTTGGATGAACATCCATGCAAAGCTGTATGCCAAAATGCTTTCAAATGTTTAAGTTTAATATTCTGCCCCTGGAGCAACTACAGAAATCTTCATCAATCTCATTAACTGGCATATTATTAAGGTTGCGTGATGCACTATGATACTTTGCTTGAGAGCGGAAAGTATCATATGCCTTATGTCCCCGTGCAGAATGTAGATTTTGCCGTCTTTATGCTGGGTAGGTGTTAAGTTGCAGGCAAAGACCACAACTTGTTATAATTATGATAGATGTTAGGAGAGGGACTGGCCAGAGTCATTCAGTAATTTGGAAGCTGAGTGTGAATTTGATCCCTGGTCTTACCCGTCCATATCTCATCAAGAGAAGGTAAATTCCTTGCACCTTCATGTTTGGTGCCCAATATCTTACCGCAACTTTGTGCCCTGACCAAGGGTTTCAACACTGATTGTAACAGCACAATGCCAAGTGCCACATCTGAAGTTCTAGTGGCTTGCTCCTTGGTTGGCCAACTCCACATTTATGATTGCTCTTTAGATCCATAAAATATCTTGAAGGAAACATTGGCGTGCTCTGAAACAGTTTTGTGAAAAGCAGTATCTAAATTTAATTAAAGCTTTTTTGAAAAGGTTAAGAGATGCAGTTTGCAAAATGCTGCCTTAAGCTGGGAATTTCCTTCTGATACATGGCGCAGAAAGACAACTTGTATCATATTTAGAGTGAGGGAAGAGCAAGTGAAAAAGAAAGAAATCAACCCAGGCTTCTGTCTTTGTAATTAATCCAAATGGCCACAGAGTGTCAGTGATGTTTCTTGCGATGCATCCGAGTACTGAAATTCTTGATGAGGAAATCGGCAGCAGTAGGACTTTCCCACTGTGAGGAGGCAGGAGAAATGTTTCCTACGGAGATCTCTCTTCCCTAGCATGGAAGAAGGAAAGGGCTAGCGCCCTCTCCTCGTCTTGCGGCCTTGGGTCTGAGCAACCTACCAGCCACTGTATATTCAAATAAAAAAGATATTAGGATTTCAGATGTAATCCCCAAAGGTGCTTTGTAGTGTGAACGTAATGCCTGTCTGCAACACCTTAAAGCAGCAGGCCTTTCTGCCCTGAGAAAAGGCCAAATGTTTAAAAGTTTACATTTTAAATGGTTGTGGACAGGTGTTGTGGTCAGATTGCAATGCACGTTTGTGAAATGAAATCCAAAGAACTGCAGAACCTTAAAATGTATGTGTTAAACATCCATATGTATATTTCAGGGCTGTGCAGCTCTTCAGATGTATGTTGCATTTTTGTGCTATGTAGTCCTCAGATATTTCGGCCTGAAAAGTAGCATTTCAGCAGCTGAAGTGATGTTTACGTGGTATTTATTCTAAGAGTTATAAATCACTTTTCATTTTGTCAAAAACCTCAAACAGTGAAGATTATAGTAAATACCATGAAATCCTTGAAACAATAAAATCTGCAGTGATTATGTTGGAAGTGTCAGTCTTCTTTATAGGAGTTTTCACAAAGATTAATGAAGCAGGTGTTATAACTATAACACAAAGAAGATTTACTTCCAGGAAAGACTTGATAGAGATAGGCAAAGCTTAGTACCTAACTAGCTGCATCCTACCAGAAGGAGTATCTAAGAGCATTTACTCTGTGTCTCCCTTGGCAGAAAGGCAGAAGGAATTGACTTGAGATTAGCAATTTCTTGGAGCAGGGGTTGGCAAACTATGGCCTGTGGACCAAATGCAACCCCCCAGGTTGGGCAGCAGGCCGCCAGGACTGAGCCTCAGCCGAGCTCCTGGAGCTGAGGGCCCGGGGAGTGGCGTCCTGGGTGGCGGTGGCAGCCCATCAACAGCCTCCCTGCTGGTAGGCCAGCACCATCCTTGGCCTGCAGACCTTGGCGGACTGGGGGCGGGATCTGGCCCTTTACGACAGGTTTGCCAACCCCTGGCTTAAAGAAAGAACAAGCAGAGTGATTGGCAAGGAGGAAATCCTCTATCTACCCCCCACTGCCACTTAGAGTCACAAAGTGCTGAAGGCTCAGTGCCATTGGATTGGGACCTCCAACATATTAGGGCAACCAACTAGCAATTAAAAAGTGGCACATTCCACTAAATAGAAGAGATTTTTCTCCTCTGGTGACTGTGATGAAAAGTAGTGATGAGCACCTTGTAAATAAAATGCTGATTTTGAACAGTCTTTGTTTCTGTTTTGCAGCTGCATATGGCAGTTTTGGCAGTAAGTAATATCTACGGGTTTCCTTCTTTCTCTGTTTGGAAAGGGTAGATTGAGGAATCCTATGACATCATGCCAAAGACATAAGGGTTTGTCTTTTCACGTCCAAGACATTGCCAGCTCAATTTTTTTTTTAAATGAAAGTTTCTCACACCATTGCCACCACTTCCCCCTGATTCTAACTGAAAAGAAATTAGTTGATGTGCTCTAGAGTTATTGTGTGTTATTTATTCATTAGGTGGTTTACCATGGTGCATACATAGCCCTCTCTCCTCCATTTTTCTTCACAATAACTGCCTACAAGGTAGTTGGGCTGAAGGAGAGTATGTGTGGCCGAAAGTCACCAATGAGTTTTCATGGCTGAGGATGGACTTCAGCCTCAGTTTCCCTAGTCCAACACCATACCTCTGCACACTGGCTCTAACTGATGAAGCTGCTGGGCTGAGTTTTGGGAATGAGAGGGACAGAACCCTATAGACTCCAGAATCCACTTTACCCTGGCAAGTCTATAAGACATTCTGGTTCTGGTCCAGTGTTGCCAATATAACAACAGTGATGCATCTTTCCACCATAGGACAGGGAACTGTTTCTGTACAAGCTGAGATGCTCATCGGAAGCATTTATTCCTATATTTCTGTTACTGACACAGTAGATTTTAGGTCTAATCAAGGGAAATAGAAGAAAAAGGAGAAGAAATAGAGACTTAGAAAAAACTCTTGCCCATGTCCTCATATAGTGTCCTTTTTATGTTGCCCCACATACTGATAAATTTTATGTTTATTATTTTTTAAGAGATGCTAACTCTGCACTCACATATTAGGTGGCCAGATATCTTCATCAAGTCATACAGTTGCACAAAACTTTTAATTATATATGCTATTTTATTGTTTTATTTTTTTCCCTGATAATGAATTGTTGTACTAAACTATTTCTCTTATCCCGCTGTACAGGCTGGTCAAAGAACCTAATAAAGATTGATGTGGACTTACAAAAAGTTCAGATATAATGTTTTCTGTGTGTTGAAGGGAAGCATGACAATTTATATACATAATCTTGCTTTTTTAATGCTTTCTATTGGAATTTTTATTTTTTTAAATGTCTTTATTACTTTAACTCTTTTTATTTGTATTCTATTTATTTGCTTTTATAATATTTGTAGATTACCCCAAGCAATTCTGGGTGGTCAACAACAAGACAAAGATAAAACAAGTAAAACAACAATAAACTAAATAAACAACAGTGTTTTGTAAATGTTACATAAATAATATACTTTGCTTACCATTTTATTCCTTTTGTATTTTGATATTATTGCTAATAGAAAAATATAACCAAAATATTAAGCTAAACTAATTGGTAATTGGTAATTCAACTGGTAGAAGCTTCAAACCTGTTTTGTGCTGCCATTGTGTCTTGGCATCATATGGGCAGTGCCCAGAATTAGGGACAGCATAGGAGGCATTTTTCATTGTTCTGATTTTTCTACAATAGTAGAATTTCCTTCTTATATTTTGCTTTTTTCCTACAGAGGTGGAGGGAATTTTAAAGCTGGGTTGTTTCTCCTTTTCACTCCAGGAGGCAGAGCTAAAATACTCATAATGATCCTTAGAGTAGGAAAGCACAGTTTCTCCCTTCCAGTTACATTCCTGCCTATCATTTTGCACAGCTCAATTTACATTTCCCTTACTTGCCGTTTTGAACTCTCTGATGGGCATGCTTTGGCTCTCAGAGCACCTGCTACAGGCTGAACTTCCCATTTGGCAAATTACTGGAATAATTCTTATAAAAAGGAAACTTGTTGAAAAATTTGGTCCATTTAATTTTATCTCAGTCAGCTAGTGTCCACAAATGAATGACCAAGGTAACATCTTCTCTTTGCTACATAGACAACATTGTAATGTTCTGTCATTCTTCATTTTTCATTGCCAGAATAAACTAACACCAATCATATAGCTTTACTAGAACACGAAGCTAGATCAGCACTCAGATCATTATCAAGATAGAAGTCTGTAGGAATGGATGGACTACAGAAATATGGCAAGCAACAGATGAAGAATCAGTAACGGTTCTAACCAAGCCATGTTAGCAAATCTGGAGAACAACACAACGACCAGCAGATTTTTGTTGTTCAGTCATTAAGTCATGTCCGACTCTTCGTGAACCAAAGAAAGGAAATTTAACAGAGTGTGCAAAGTATTGTACAATATGCTTATTTTACAATTTTACATACCAGCAGAATAATTCTTAGGATAATCCAAAACAGATTAGAGCCCTACATGGAAAAGGAGATGCCAGATGTTCAACTTGGCTTTAGAAAAGGCGGAGAAACACAAGACATAATGAACTCTGGTTAATTGAGAAAGCCAAAGAAATACCAAAAAGAGGTTGGTATGTGCTTCACTGATTATAGAAGGGCCTTCAAATATGTCAGTCATGTCAAGCTGTGAAATGTGCTTAGAGAAATGGGAATCCCAGAACATCTCACTGTCATGATGCAAAATCTACACAGAGGTCAGGAAGCCACAGTACAAATAGAACATGATGAAACAGAGTGGCTCCAGGCTGACAAAGGAGTGAAAGAAGACTATATACCCTCCCCTTCTTTATTCAACCTATTTGTTGAATATATACTGAAGGAAGCTGGATTGGAAGAAGAAGAATGTGGTTTTAAAATTGGAGGAAGATATGTCAATAACCTGCACTATGCCGATGACGCTACCCTGATAGCTGAAATGCAAATGATCTGCAAGCTCTAATAAAAAAGTCAAGGAGTACAGTGAAAACAGAGCTAAAATTAAATGTAAAGAAGACCAAACTAATGACAGCAGGTACAGCAACCAACCTTACAATTGGCAACAAAGATACTGACATGATGGGTAGCTTCTGCCTTTTAGGATCAACTATCAACAATAAAGGAACAAGTAGTCAGGAAATATGCTGCAGTCTAGCACTTGGTAGGTTACCAATGAAGGCCACAGAAAAGATATTCAGATGCTATGATGTGTCTATACCTACAAAGATCAGTATGGTGCAGGCAATGGTTTTCTCAGTGGCACCCTATAGAAGTGAAAGTTGAACTTTGAAGAAGCAGGACTGAAAGAGGATTGACATTTTTGAATTTTGGTGTTTGAGAAGACTCCCGAGAATACTATGGATAGGTAAGAAAGCAAACAAACGGATCATCAAACAAATCAACCCAGAGTTCTCACTCAAGGCACAAATGACCAAGCTCAAATTATAATACTTCAGACAATATGAAGACCTATCTTTCTGCAGAAGTCTATAATGTTGGGAAAGGTGGAAGGAAAGATAGGAAGAGAATGAGCAGCAAGGCAGATGGACTCAAATTCAGTGGCAATGGGTGCATTGTTGGAAGACCAGAAGGACCAGGTTGGGAACAGATCCTCCTGGAGAAAATCTAAGGTTGCCGAGAGTCAACCAACAATCAATCAAATCTAGGTTATCATATTTCTGCTTGGACTTGGCAATCTGGGATATTGTGCTAGATATTTTCATGGAAATTACAAATTAGGGTAGGTCAAAGGAGTAAATCGCTTTGACAAAGTTGTTTCACAAAGCATTATCACCTCCCTCTGGGGAAAAAAAGGAGCAAAAATGAAGTACCAATACCAGAAACAATTACTTCTCTTCCAGTACTTCTCTTCGCTTCTGGAAAGACAAAACCTCCTTCTGCTAGTAGAACTATTGGACGAGACCTCAAGGTAGCACAAAATGGTTTGGTGAGGCAAATTGTATCACCTTGCCATCATAGATGAATAAATTAAGTATCTCTGTCCTGAAAAGCCCCTCATTGAAATTAAATGTGGCCTCCTCACACATCTCTGCTATTAGATGTTTTTAAAACGAATTTCTTGTGTGTTGGAAGGGTTGATGAATTGACCACAGTTATCTATGTAGGTGGTGAACAATTCTCTGGATAAGAGCTAGGCTTATGGAAAAATTGACTTAATTTCTCCAAATATAGACATACACTTCTCATCATTTTATAATTTGCTCAGTTTATGTGACTAGTTACAAATGCAGGAAGAATGACAAAAAGAAAAATTCCTGCAGTTATTATTATCAGTCTGTGATCAAAGAAAGCTGTGGTTTGGCTTTATTTTATTATGACAGTTCACTGAAGGACCACAGTAATTCTGTCTACTTTCTTGAAACAGATCTATACCAATCCCCAAGACCCTGAGGTAAGAAGTACAAGTTGTAAACCACAAACAATATAGACAGAATTTTTTCACTTCATATTTAAGTCAGCCAGGATTCATTTGGTTAGTTGCCTTGATAAAGATGCAAATCAAATGTATAAATTCCTTTAACTATCATTGCTACATCTTCTGTTGAACCACATATTTTTGCTTGCTTCATCAGATGTGGGCCACTTTCTACCCTCCTTCAGACAGTTTTTTGCCCAAACTTCTGATTATCTTTGGACACTAAATTTACCTAGTACCTTAGATAAGAGAATGTTTCTGACAGATAGTTAATGAACTCTAATAAATGGTCTGAATTAAGGGCAGAAGAATGCATGTTATTGGGCAAATAAAAGCTCTTCCATTTAATAGCCAGACAATCTGTTTGCTGCTGAAAATATTACATTTCCCTGAATATAACATACTGAGAATATCTAAGGGGATGGATAACTGAAGAAGGAAAAATTCAGGAGACAGCCTACTTGTCTTAATATCAAGATATTGTAAAACTTTTTCTGAGTGCTCATATAAGCATTTGTTTTGTCCAGAACTGCCCTTGTTGGTCCAAAGTCTATTTTAAGACAAAGTTTAATAACTTTATTAGTTATGATATTAGATCCCTACCTAGTCAGTGCCTTTGTTTATCTATAGGGCCTGTCTCTATTCTTATTATACTGTAGTTTTTTTTCTGTCATGTTGCTATATTTTATAACTGAGTAAAAGCATTGTAAACTTTTCTGAGTAATAATAGAATCACTGATCAAATATAAATCTGTTTTTGATTATTAAATAAGTGAAGTACTTATTAAGTACTCTTTTTAAAAAAAAGCAAAACAAGACCTGTTTCCTATTCAATTCTTAGCGCTTGACAGAATTCTATCAGTTCAAGTTCAAATACTCAAAGAATGGGCCTCAGATGGACTTTGCCAGGTAATTCTTTTGTTCTTTAATTTCTGGAAAAATGGACAGTTTGTATTGAACATCTGGTTAGTGGAAACTGCTGTCAGGTACACAGATTCTGACTTCTTTAATTTTTAATATTTTCATTGTAAATGCAGTCTCTAATGCATGTCTTCTAACAAATCCATTATTTTTTCAGAACTAGTGAAACTCATTAGTGAGTTACTTCCTAAAGAGCAAACCTTGTTAAATACAATTTCTTCTCAGTTGTTGTGCATCTAATCAGGTTGAGATAATAATAAGAGCTCCAAGACCATGTTGGAACTGGGCAGGTGGATTAAGAAGTCTCAGCTTAGATCTAAAGGAACATTTTCCCACCTGGTGGCCCACATCATGTGGAAATATAATTTAAAGCACTCTTTAGTATTATGTAGTAATTTTGGGAGTTGGGGGACAAAATATGGACATGTGCTTTGCCCCTTCAGCTGTCTTCTTGGGCAGCTCATCCTTTACTATTCACCAGTCTCTTAGTCTGCTCACTATGTGAACTGCAGTTGCTTGTGAAGAACGGAGTTAAATGTTGTACCTACCATCCAGCCTATTTTAATTTTTTTCATATAAACTGGGCCATTCTATCTGATGGGAATTAATGCACCATTCCTTATTTCTTAGAGGGGACACACAGAGACATAAGTTCAGTAGTCCAACAAAAGAGTATTCATAATCTTTTTGTGTGTTTGGAGATGTGCCCTGGTGCATCATAGTGTCAATTCACTGTTAATGACCCAGTTTATAATTCTAGACAATTCCCAACCACCAATCCGCCTTCATTATCCTATTTATCTTATTGAAATGACAAAAAGGTCTCTACAGCCTTTTTCTACCCTTCCAGTAAAATGAGTCAGTGGGTGTTCTATATTTGCCCTAATGTCATGGCTAGTGTTTATTTTTTGCTGTTTTGGTTTGCACTGTACAGAAGTGGTACTCCAATCCTGCAGAATGCCTAGTTGTGGAATATACACATGCTGGCTTACTCTGACTTAATTAACGTATCATCTGATTTGTGGCAAATCCCTCTTGATACTCTGGCTGCCTGTTACAAGTCTTTTACAGTAGGGAGTCAATCTGGCATTGGATCAATGTGGCATTGCTTTAGGTGTTTAAGGCTGGGCTCACTGAGACTTTATTTAGTGACCAAAATAATGTTGGATTTAGTCCATGTGCCTTCTTGTCTTATTCTGGGATGGTTTAATAATTTAGCATACTATGAAGTCATTTGTCTTGTTCTGCTAATGTCTCAAGTTATTCCTCTTGTGAGCAGCTTATTCAGGTGAACACTGTAAAGTTAGAACTCATGCAATATCATAGTGCTGATTCTGCTTAATTTCACAATTAATAACAATAACAATTCCTTAATTGCACTCGTAGGGAAATGAGGGGTGTAGGGACCCAACCATGCATCTTCCAAATGATTACCCCCGATCCTATGAAACATTTTGCCATCTGAGATGTGGAACGCTCCCATCCTCTTGGCCTGCAAGAAGACCTTGGACATTTTTTTTATTCTGCAGAGTATATGGCTACTGCTGATATTAGAGCTGCCTTAATTAGGGTAAAGCAATTGAGTATTGTTTTTAATGGTTGGTACTGTATTACCTTACTCACAAATAGCCTTGAGTTCTTTGTGGAAGTGGGCAGGATGTAAATAACTGAATAAATAAATAAAATAAAATCTTCAAGAGTGAAATTGGTATCTTAAGCATATAAAATTTAAGGTAGTCATTTTGCTCCTAACAATCCTTAATCCTCCCAATATGCAAAAAGGGCTCAAATGCTTAGCTCCACCCATTCAGGGAAGACGCTAGGGTTTACAAAAGATGTGCTGATAGGCTGCATACGCATTCTTGGTTTAAACCACACGAGTCAAGATCGTTTTTGACATTTGTGTTGTTTTCCCGGTAGCACTCAAGTCAGCTTTCAAAATGGAACAAACAGCGATGAAATTAAGAAAGCCAGTATCCTACTGATCCGCAAATTGTATATATTAATGCAGCATCTTGGACCACTACCTAATGACATTACCTTGACCATGAAACTGTTCTATTACAATGACAGTAAGTGGTAAGAGTTCCTGTCTATTCTGGCTTCCACTCAGGACTAGCCCCAACCAAGAGATGTTAGAAGCTGCAACTGAAATGTATCTCAAGACTGGGAGCTTACAGCTCAACTGGAACTGAAGATGGGAATCAATGAGAAAGCAGAGAGCAGATCATTTTGGAGGGGGGGGATTCAAAATCTAGCCCAGGACCTTGTGAACCTTGAAATGGGAAATAGTGTCCTCTCCACTGGCTCTGCTAAAAACCAGCTGCATCATTTCCTCTCCCAGTTGTTTGCATTCAAGTTGCTCACTCTAGGAACAAAAATCTTCATTTTTCTCCTTCCCCTTCCTCCACTTTTCCTTCCCTGTTGTATTTTCTAGATAAGATAATCTCTGTCCATAACTTTATTATTTTTATTAATCAATAAAAATCACTATGAGAAGCTTTTTGGCTGAATCACAAGGTAAAAATGCTTTAAATAAATTATGGGGGCACCTACAGTATGTGCATAAAATAATGGAATTTATTTAGACACTTTGTCCAGTGTCTAAATAAAAAAGCCATATGCTTTTTTCCCTTACCTTTAGCCACTCAGCCTATTTTCATGTCCTAGGGGCAATACCTGTTGCTCCAGATTTCATACACCTTTCCTTTGCAGTCACACCCATTGATTACCAGCCCCAGGGCTTTAAAGAAGCCAACAGCTCAGATGGTCTGCTTTTTGATGGTGACCCTGTGAACCTCAAAGTAGGATCAGTTTCCACTGGATTCCATGTGTTGAAAGTGAGAATAACAACAGAGAGCAAAAGGATGGGGATGTTGGAGAACGGCCTGGTGGAAGAGAATGGTCCCACTGAGATTTCCCACCAAGGGTTAGACTGTGATGATGAAGAAGAAGAAGAGGACAGCACTAAAGTACCAGAACAGGTTATATACATTCTCTTTTTCACAAATCATTCTGTATAAAAATGGGGGTGATCTGATAGTGGGAGTTCAGTGTCATAACATCAGGTTTAAAATGGGTTATGAGGTGGTTGTGTGTGGCCTTATTACTTAAAGGCAGGACACCCTATTTTAAGCACTCCTAGTAAATATACTGTTAAGTCTTTTTTTTTAAGGCAAAGCAGAATTATTTTATTCTTAGGAAGTTGACAGGCATGCCTAATTATTTGGTAAGTTTGCTTTAAAAAACCTCCAACTTCTTGCAAACAACATGATTCTTTGAATATATGTTGATACTACAAGCTTAAACTGCCTTTACATTAGACCTGGAGAGTGGTAGGGCAATAGCAGGTTCATTGAGGGTGGACCAAACCCATCCTAATCTCCCATAAAGACCTGAAGAAAAGATTAAAGGTTAAAGCTACACACCTAGAGAAAAGGTCCACAGATTAAAACCTTGGGAGAACCAGTGTGGTGTGAGAATATTATTGGAAAGATCTAGGTTTCAATTCATCATCAGCCAACTGACATTGGGTCTTACTTACCTCACAGGGTTGTTCTTGGTGGGAAAACATGGGAGGAGGTGATGCTGTATGCATCATTTTGAGCTCAGCTCCTGGAAGTAAGGTGGGCTATCAATCTAGTAAATAAATAATTTATTAGCTATGGGAAAAAGTCAATATTTGACTTCTTGCTCCTGGAAGTAAGGTGGGCTATCAATCTAGTAAATAAATAATTTATTAGCTATGGGAAAAAGTCAATATTTGACTTCTTGTGAAGTGGAAGAGAGCTTCTGGTAACTTTTGTGAAAAGTTTATTATCACCTAGGAAAAGGACGAAATTTGGCCATCTTCCTGACAAAGCACATTATTTCTCCTCTCTTAGAGCAGGATATAACCATTATTTTCATGCTCTACCCATAGGCCAGAGCAGCGATCTCTTCCAAAAATGAAAAAAGCACATCCTCCAACTTGATTAGAAGAAAAGGGTCAAAATGTGCCTGATTTTGCAGAGGAAAAAAATGTGTTCCATCCTAGTCTTTTTACACAGAAAAAAAGCCCCTCTGGAGTTGTCCTTTGTTATTCCAGTCACATATCTGCACAGAAAAAAAAAATTCCCCCCAATTGATTTAAAAGGGTTAGTTCTGTGCTGACACAAATCTGTAGAAAGAGACAGAATGTCATTTGTGCAACATTGCCAACGAGCAATTAAGGTTTTTTTTTTGTACATTTATTGATTGATTGATTGATTGATTGATTGATTGATATGTCAAATTTATATCACTGCCCAACT